ATGTTTAGCCTCAAACAATTCTTCCACCTTATAAGCAATCCTTAATAGCTTTAATAGGCCCAATATTACTATTCCATATTATTTCACTTCCCGAGTTCCCTCGATTATAGTTACATTACGAAGAAGGCGGAATAGTTTCCTACTGTCGCCTAATCTTCATTTTTAAAGCCATATCGCTCCAACTCCAACAGTGATTTCTATCTCATTGTACTGCTGTCGTTGTAATTCTTCGAAGCATCTGATAGTCAGAGATCCTGACATTCGTGCTTTGACAGCCTTTTCGAACAGTTGAAGAATTGCTTCCGAAACACATTTAGTGCATTTTATACTAGAATGTTTTGCTATGGAAGTAGCTGACTTTCGGAGACGTCTTCATTTGGGATCAGTATTCATTCGCCATTCCAGAGATATCACTGAAATTCATTTCACTGAGGTGCTTTAATAATTCGGTTTGAAATGCAGTTACCAGAATCTTTAGATTTCTCTGATGTCAGGAGAAAAAGTTGATGTTCATGTTCAACAAAGCGAAGAAAGCGTTCTCCATTGGCGCATCGCACTCCGATGCCGTTTTCGTTAATTCTCCAGTTTATCGTTGCGGCATCGTGGGCATTCCAGTCTCCCCACATTACGATCATCTTTCAGTAGAGATGTTAGCAGTTGAAACTCCACATAGAATTTATTTTGTCGGGGTTATCTACACATAAAGTTGGAGCGTATACATTGATGACTGAAATATATTGCAAAATCTTCCTTTGAAACGAGCATAGGCCACACGGTTGTGTACCGACTTCCGCTCAATCAAAGTGGCCCGAGCTTTTTCAGATATGACAATCGCTATGCCATTTCACAAAAAGTTATCTAAAACACCATGATGATATAACCAGCATTTCTTCTCGGTTACCAGGTTGAGCAATTGCTTGAGACCTAAGTAAGGGCGAAGACAGACCACCGACAAACAGGCAATATCCATATGATATTTAGAAAGAGTGAAGGCGTTCTAATGCTCCACGCTGCTACAGCCAACACCTCACCGCGCGTGCAGAGAGCCGTTTGCCTTGACAGGCTTGAAGTAATTATTCCGACTCAAGAGTACATCTTATTCACAAGCCTTGGTATCGTTTTACTATGCCCGGATTGTATATTTATCGCATGTACCACCGTGCTGGCGGCATCATGCTAATTAAAACCAGAACCTTTCACCACAAAGTAAATCAAGGATATAGTTGCAAGCGAGTCCTTATCAGTCATCTAAATATTTGAAATCACGCCAATTATTCCTGTCAATGACAAAGAAAGAAAATAAAATTAGGAGAGAAAAATAAAATAAAATAGAAAATATAAAGAAAAATAAAGCTTATCTTTAGAAAAAAATTAAGTTATGTTGTTATAGTTTTATTTTTCTGTTTTGGTTAAATTTTATATATATAATTTAATTCATAATTTATTTTTTGATCTTTATCTTTAATTTTTTGTTTTAAAAAATTTGAAATGGGCTTGACTCAATTGTTTGTAGCACAAGTTCCAGAAATAGTGCAAGAGAAAGCAGACGGAACAAATACGACCGCTCAAGAAAATAAAAATGTATAATGTCTGAGATTTGTATATAATGTATTAGTATACTGTATATGTTTTTTATATATGTATTTTATATATATTATATACATATTTTATATATATATATATATATATATTTGATAGATTTGTATATGTATATTTGTATGTATAATTTCTATTTTGCAAAAAAATTTTATTATTCATTAGGAAATGTTCATTGGAAAAAATGTTCCTTGAGTGCAAAGTAATTATTGCACTTAATAATTTTTTCAGAGTAATTTTAAATTTATGTATCAATCATATTTGACAGAATCTTTATTTGTTGAGTATTTTAATCGCTAATCATCCTTTGTATACCAGCTGTAGTATAGCCAATATAATATTGAAAACACAACGAATGCTGAAGGGAATATTATTCGACTATCTAAAATACATTATTTGATACAAAAGCTTTTCCTGATCCAATAGATTTTAACTTTGTGATTTATCTCGATATCATTTGAATGTATTATAAATTTATTGTATGGTGATAAAAATCAAACTGCTAAATTTATAAATTTCTGAAAAAAATCAGCTACTAAGTTTATAAGAAATTACATTTGTCTATTTGCCGCGCAACCATTTCATTATTTGATGCGCACTTTTGGCAAGGTTTTGTGATATCAATATCGTTAAATGATTCTGCGCCAACATTTCTTCTATTGCCTGATATTAAGGTCTGAAAATAAAAAAAAAAATAGTTTTACTCAAATTTAAATCAAAAACTAAATTATTTTTCGCTAATTGATCGATCTTAATACTTCTCTATTCTAAAATGTTCACTTTGGGAGCGGATTTATCAATTTTTATTTCTTCGGCTGAGGTCAAGCATTATGGACTGAATCCCTGTCACTTGACTGGAATTAACCTCTCATTAAAAATGGTTTCTGGAGAAGAGGAGACTCTGGAGATAACCAATAAAACTAACTAAACCAAAATGGAGGATGTTGGTAAATGATGAATATTGGTATTTAGTTTCAAAATATGGTTGTGATTTCAAAATCAAGTCAAAAATTTCAAAAATTTTCCTCATTAAATTTAAAGCATTCACTTTTTAAAGTTTATGAATCCTTACATTTAATTGTAAAAAAGTATAGTGAATACAATGAGATCGTAATCGACAAATTCATCAGTCGAGCCGTAACTTTTGAAGCCTTTTTGGACGAAATATGTCTTTATATTCTTTATTATTATTATTTTTTACATTATTTGTTTATATTATTGTAGTTTCTATATTATTTATTATTATTTTATATTATTATTATTTTATTTATTATATTATATTATTATTATATTATTAATATTATTTTGTTATTATATTAGAAATATTATTTTTCTTACTTGGTTAATTCATTTCTTGGTTCATATAAAAATCGAAAAATGAATTAAATTTTAGCAATTTATTGATTCATTTGCACTAGAAAAAATAGTTGAATTTTTCTAACGATCATCTTAGAACAATTAATTAAAAAAGTGATTTTTAGAATATAGGATAAAATAACTAATTCTCACAAATCCAGAAAGTTTTGAAGCCAATGTATTTTTTTAACATTTTGGCGCATTTTGTATTTTATTTTCGCATTATGCAAAAGCTTCAGAACAAATAAAACATAATTACCTGTTGACAAGGAAATGCATTGATACAACATTTTCTATGAGGTTCTTTAAAGAGAATCGGTATATATTTTATTATATTTTTTAATGAAGCTCCTCGTTTAATAAAGAATCTTGATTAACTAATTACTGTCAATGAAATGCTTTTCTGTTAGCCTACGGAATCGAAAAAACTGTTGGCAGTGTCAAAAATGTTCAAAAAATTCATGATGAGATCGTTCTGAAATGCTTTTTTCATTGCTTAAACGAATTTAATCAGATGATATGTGGGAAAGAATTATGAGGATATACCGAAAATTTTCAAAAAAAATTAATTTTCGAAGTTAAACATTTTTATTTATTTCCTGTTATTTTCTTTTTCTCCATTTTTTATTTTTTTTCTCTTTCATTACGAAGTGTCTAAAGTGTATGTCTAAAGTCTGCCATGAAATCCAAAATCCAGGCGGCTGATGAGGACCCACTTATATTTCAATCCCCCAAGTAACTCTTGATGAAAAGGTCTGGTTTTATTGGTCAGATGGTCATATCTTCCAATGTATTGATACTCCTAGTTTGATGGTAGGTACGAAAGCATCAAAACTGGAGAATAAAAATATTCTAATGTTCCATAACATAATGAGCCATGGAAACCGTCGATTCCACACATATGCGATGAGATCTTGACCACAGAACGTTCATGGATGTCAGGAGTCCACACTCTGTCAAAATATCATATAGACATCACCTCCATGACAGAATTTCTTCTTTCTCATTTCGAATATAGAGAAGTTATTAAACCTGGTTCAGAGCAGAAATACTGGCTGTATCATTACGGTGTCTCTAATAATTCGGCTGTCATATCTAATAGGGCCCAATCTACTTTGACTGCATAAGCTGATTAAAGCTGATTATACTGTAATATATTATGACTGTATGATATGCCCAACATCTCTGTAGAAAAGTGACAGTCATAGCTGAGGGAGATATGTAGGCCAGTAGGCGCCACAGCGGATTCTTGATTGGTAACATGATACTGGTAACATGATCCGATGCACAAATGGAAAGTGAGATAAATGTGTCTTCTTTGTTTTCCTGAGGACTATGGACTTTCTGCTATCGATGCATGCTCCCGAAACCGAAAATATCTATGGAATGGAATATGGAATTCTCGACATAAGCAGCATTCCAACCAGATTGATTATGTTTTGGCCAATCATTATTTTAAATGTTCTTCATTAAATAAGTTGCGAAATCACTTACGGAAGTATTTCTTATACATCGAGCAAAACCAGTGGCTATCGATATGTTTTTATTTTCTGATTGACTATTATCAAATGAGTAATGAGCCCTAGATTCTTTATTATTTTTTGATTCTTTCTTCTGAAAAAAAAAGCTTTTATTTCGATATATTAATAAAAAAAAGATAAAAAAAAAGATCACAGATGGTGTTTAATTGGACCCCTTTCTTTCATAAAGCTGGAGAATGAAGTCTTCAAATGAGGAGTGCATCAAGAATAAATAGCTTCTAGCTCTTAAGATAAATGTTCACCATTCTTGGAGAGGACAGCTCTACTGGCTGTTAGTAAGGTTGGAAATTTTTGCGAGGTAATCATTTCTTGAAAGGAGGATCGCCAACGCGATAATTTTTAAATTACAGATCTAACTCTGTCGAAATGAATCCTTGCTTCTCAACACGATAATTTAAAACATTATATACTCAGCTATTCCTTCTGGCTCTTGAGGTATATGGTATATGGTATTTTGTAAGAAATATAAAAGAAATATTATGATATAAATTAAATCTAAGGGCTATTTTACTCTTGATAATGGAAATATATAAAAAAAACCTGCGTGCCATCACTAGAATAAATATCAGCAATATCGGCAACAAGCTTATGGATGCAGTTATATTCTCTTTTTGTCACATAATAACTAACAAATGAATATTCAAGCAAAACTAAAAAGATCAAGGCCTGAAATAAATATAAAAATATAGTTTTCAAAAACCAAATTTTTTACAAACTTGGTTTAAGCAAATTTTGCAAATAAAATAATAAAATTTTAATTTTATTTAACCTAAAAGACTCACCTGAGAGAATGTAAGCCATATATCGAGCGCTTTTATATAGCTCACCTGTAACAAATAATATTTTAAAAAATTCACTTATAGAATGCTTTATTTCTTTCGAAGTTGATTATAAAATATATAATTTTAATATTTACTTTCAGAAAATATATTTAAAAAGTGAGGGAGTGGAGGTTAAAAATATAATTGAATGATGCAAATAAAACTCGCTTGAGGCAAATCTTGACGAGCTCCATTGCTCATAGTGGTCAGTGTAAGAAGAGAAGTGATGGTTAATGATATTCTGGCAGGAGACGCTCGTGGATCGAGCCAAAAGCTCATCCAAGATATAGATACTAACATTCCAGTTGGTATATACGTCTGAATTATATGAAATAACATCAATCTTTTCATTACTATGAAGGCCTTTATACATGACCAATTTCCTGAAATCGCTTTAGACTTGTTTTGCCTCATTGACTTTAAAAAAAGGGCTTTTTTCAAAGAAAACAATCTCTTAATTTAATTTATTACTATTAAGTTATTTTGTGATAAAAAAGCATAAAAAAAAGTAAAAGATGAATTTCACAAACAAAATGGCAGTGAATTACATCTTATGATCATGTTCACTGCCATAAACTATTTAAAACAGATTTCTTTATTCCCAGTGGAACGATTTGTAGGAATCAAATTTAGATATTAGAATCATCCATCATCATCGCAGCACTTGATCTGTTATCTATTTCCGAGAGTAACTTGAAAAACCAATTCAAACATTCCTAACTAACATTGAAATTCTTGATTACGACGTAAATTTCCTCGGATTATTCAAAGAATTTTAATTGACTATTTTTAAATTCTTTGGCAATCCACTAAATTCATTTCGTTTAAATTAATCATCAGAGTTTGATCGTATCAGTCAACTTAAAGTATTCTAATATAAATAAATTATCATTTGCATATTCTGTGGTTTCTTTAAAGATATGACTGAGAGGAGGGAAGGTTGAATGAAATCGTTGCTTCGATTCGCATCAAGCATCAGAGGTTATATTTTCTGCCCCTTGACATGAATAAATTTACAAAAATATTAAACCCGAGCAGCGCACCATTCGTAAATAAATCTCATGGGATTCTCAGACAAAAGTTAGTAGAACCGTTAAAATTATTTCTGCCCTTTAACATCGACAATAAAATTTTCATGGCGCAATTTCAAAAATACTAGAAAAGAAAAGAATTTAAAAATATATCGGTTTTATATCAGTTTTTTTTGTTTTCGAGCAACATCGTTTTACAGCCTGTATCTGATTGTTAATTATTGGTCAAAAGTGGTGAAACAGACCTGATTTTCGAAACATTGGATACGGCCCACTACATCTCTCAAATCGTGTATTGGTAATAATCATGTCATTCAATTTGATTTCGCTGTTACTTCCTATGGGAAAATTCGGAGGATCGTTGTGCCAAGTAAGATTAAGGATATTCTCCACATAAGCATCTAAAATATGAAATAGAGTAATACAGTCATCCGTCAATCAAAAGTAATTAATCACTGCAGCAATTCTTGAAAATTAAATGTCTTATTTTGAATTTTCTGAAATAATTTGATTTTTAAGCAATAAAACAAAGTTAGATTTGGAGACTATGCTAAACGATAGTCAAAAGAAGTAAATAGAAAAATAAATTAAAAATAAGTTGAAATAAGCTGATGTTATACGGTAATTTGGCTGGTGTTGATATCTTGTCTTTCAGTGCTTTATTCATTTGGGTTTTTCATGCTTAAGCTCAGTAGATTTTGATGATTCTCATTTTAAATAAAGCTAAAAAAAGTTTCTCCCCTCTTAGTTGAAATGTTACTTATTTTAAGTGAGCCTAAAAGAGATTTGGTAGGCGCTAAAGGAATATATAGAGTTTTGAAGATAAAAAAATATAGAAAGGCTTAAGAAATTTTAAATGATAACGAAATAACAGAGCTAATAACCTAAACAAAAAAGTTTGAGGTTCATAAGAGAAACCAATTAATCAAAAAAAGGTGCGAAGATTTTTAAGTGAATTTTTAAGTGATAGAAATTCAGCAATAATAGAATAAATGCAGAAAGTAAGCGATAAAATAGAACAAAAGAATTCGAATAATATAAGTCCCATATAGTTGTAGATAAAAAATAATGGCAACAAAAAGGCGCAAATGCTATAAAACAATTGCAGCAAAGAACCTTCCTCTCAACGAATTTTGAAATTTTTAACAGAATTCTGAAATTTGACCGTGGAATGAAATGAGTATCATTTATAATGTTGAGCAAAGAGGAAAAAACTTCGCAAGACTCTCTCCCACAAACATCTCGGAATACTTCAGTAGCTTAAGTAGAATCCTTTTATTATGCAATCTTCCAGTTCTCCCATTTAGTTATCTTTTATCACTCTCATGATTATATTATCTTCTTACATTACCTTTCTCCACCTCATATCTGCCCATTCTTTACTGTAGCTGCAGGATAGTCGATACGTTGCCTCGATAATCTCACTATCCGCAAACTTAAAAGTTAATTTAGCCGGCAGTATAGCAGAAAAATTCGAAAAGCCGTCCAAAAATTTTTAGAAAATAGAGAAAATAGAAAATAAATTTTTCATCCTTTATATCCTAAAGAAATTAAGAAAAACAAGACATATAATGCTTACAGCTTTGTATAACAAGTGGACATTCCTGCTTGTCCATCGGGAACCTTTGAAGATCCATCATACATGATAACGTAACATCTATTCTGAATTCAAAAAAAGTAACCAGCTCATTTCAAATAAAGATTAATATTATATGACATCTTGCATAAAGTATTCTGCGAAAATTTAGTGGTATTATGACTGCAAAAATTCAAATCAACCTCATTGATTTAAAAATTAATCCATCTGGGTATATAATAACCATGAAATTCGGTGTAGTCACTTCTTGGAGGTAGGCAAATTTAGAATTTACAAAATAAAGATCTGGATGCCATATGCGGTCAGCAATAAATTTATTTGCTACAAGTATAGGATAAGTGCAGTTATGTGCCAATCGTCGATCAAACCAGCCCATTGCCAGATACATATCAACTTCAAAATCCTAAATTGCCGATAATATCTCCTTGACCGAAATATTGACTAATATGGATAAAAAAGGAAAACAATATACAATAAATCAAGCCGAGCCTAATTAACGCATCAAATATAGTGTGAGTCAAAGATTTTAAGAATGCCATGAAGTGTTAAAAGATGGATGTGATGCGGTTTTGTTTATTTTATTTATTTTAATTATTCTGACTATATCAAAAAATCAAAACGATAACTGATCTGTAATTTTTTACTAAAATTTGAGGTTAAGTGATGCGCTGCTCCGACAAAGGTGGCCGTGATGGGAGCAAACTATTTATTTAAAGTGAAATATGAGCAATGTTCCGAACCCACTCGAACTCTTACTCTCAAGTGACTCCCTGACGAATGTATCTCATTCCCAGTAGTCAACAGAGGAAGCCAATCTAGAAATAGCGGATATAGAAGAAGAATTCTATACTTTACTAACTATGAAAAGCTCACCATAGTTTGTGCTTTAAATGACGACATCGACTCAATATAAACTGCAACAGATACGTCAGTCGTCAAACCTGTAAAAGATTGAATATAAACTAGAAATTTTATTCATGTATATGACTGCATAAGCAATCAACAAATATAAATATTTTCTTTTTTATCCTGCTTGCTCAAGAATTATCCAGTTAGTTCTGTTTGAAATCAATGATTATAAACAAAAATTGCTAAATGTCATGACCTTGCGCTTGGCCTGGTGCCATAAACATGTTATAGCCATCTTTGACAACTCCGTTGCCAATAATTCGTAAAAGGCGGTCTGCTGATTCAGACCTAAAAAATTGTTGAATTTTATTATCATCCTTGATTATGCTTGCTTCGATTTTAAATGTTATGGCAGAATTTTTTTAAAAATATCATATTCACGTCAAACAAGACGATCACAGGACGATCTCCCATGGTGACTCATGTGTCCTCGACGAACTTACGATTCAAATCAACCATCGATTTGGAGCAGTAGCTGCAGTGATTCATTTATATTACTTCCAGTGAAAGTCAAGCAACATGAGTTAGATTCTCTCTAAAGTAGAATAAAACAATGAATTTTCACTGAGTTCCGATGGTTTAAGGAAGAAGTCAAATTATCGCAAACCTTTTTTAAGAAATGATTTACTATTTTTTGCGGATGAGCTTTAAAAGAAAAATTTTTAAATTTTTACTTGCAAATGATTCAATAATGTAATTAGGAAAAAAAATTACAGCAATTATTTAAGCCTTAATATTATTATTACTAATATTATTATTATTAAATAATATTAAATAATTTCAACATTTCAAAATTTGTTAAGATATAGAAAAATAATTTGAGAAATTTGAGAATATATTTTTTATGATTGAGTCGGTCATTCATCAAGTTAATTTAATTTATCGTTCAATTCAAAAAACAGATCATTTTTCAAAGAGATATGGAATTCATTACTTATTTGAATACAATATTTCTTCCAAATTTACATGAGAGTCAATTAATATTTTTCTTCGATAACTGAAAGATTTTGGCAATGATAATTCATTTAATGCTGTGATAAGTCTCTGATTTGACAATCTGATTTCACAAAAAGATCGGATTTTTTCATATTAGGTCCATGTAAAAAAAGTCTCAATAACTTTGTAAAGATAAGGAAGATGAACGATTACAAAGGTTTGAAAATGAAGATTTTTATCAGTTTTGATTTGAGTGTTTCAATAACAATAAGCTATAGCTAGCAATATTCAACACTCTTAAATTCAATTTCGAAGAATTTTTTTATTCAAACTGAATTTTTCCAGAAGAATTTTTTCTGGAAATTTTTCATTCTTATTCTACACTCATATAATATATATATATATATATATTTTAAAACAATTTTTATCAAAATTTTACAAATGCAAATCAATAAATATACTTTAAAATGAGATATTTTTTGAGTCACTCTATGTGCTTCATTTTAAATGAAGTCTATTTGAAATTCATTTATTATATGGTTGTTTCGTATTTACACATGTAATTACCATACAATGAAATCATCTATACATATACTTGAAATATTATTCATCGAAATTTTTCTTCGCTATTCCCCCTTACAGATGCTCAATGTTTTTTTAAGAAATCAAGGTGTATAAGGTAAGTAAAACAAGGTAAGTAGAAACAAATAGAAATGTTTTTATGATATAAGAAATGGAAATATAAAAATCTACTGAAAATCGCTGAAAAGTAGAAAAATTTGCTAAACTATATGGTGAAAAAACCTATTTAATATCCAATAGATATATAAAATGTTAGTTCGATTTCATTTAATCTATAATTATTCAGTTTCAAAAGCGGAAATAGTTAACAACATTTGTGGATCGTTAATTTTTTCTGCTTTCCCAAGGGTTTATTCGCAAATTTCTGTTTAATCGATTACGATAACAGATATAATCTTTAAGGAATCAAAGCTATTTTAAGGATTTATATCAAGAATTGCGGTCCATAATCATCAGCGATGTGATATCGTTTTCATTTCATTTTAAGGCATTTTAATGGTAGAATTATGTGAAATTTAACATTGGCTAGAAGCATATACTAGATAATCTAGTCATATTGAAGAACGATAAAAAATGTTTAAAAGCGAAACAAACCATTCCAACTCATCGACTTGATTTCCGGAGCGCCACGATTCGCACAATGAATGAATTTGGTAATTCGGATCAAAAGAATTTTTGCTAAATTTATTGTAGTCGATATCAGTGAATGAGCTGGAAATATGAAAAGTCCCCATTAGTTTTGAAGAAAGCCTTTTTTAAAAATAAAAATAAACATTTTAAATACTAAAAATAAATATTTTAATATTTTGATAACTTGCTAACTTACTTTGATTCAACAATATAAGCCGAGTTTTGATGGCCACCTTCAGAAAAACCTAATGAATACGCATGTATACTCTTATTTATCGATGGTTCCTGCAATAAATTTAATTTAATCTTTAAATTTATTCAAGTGCTTGTAGCATTATTCTTTTTTTAAAATTTATCCAGCACTACTAATTTTGCTAGGTTTTTGCGCAAATTTTAGCGCAATTTTTCAGAAATTTTACTTATAATTTATTGTCAAATATGTAATAAGGACTAAGGTGAGAAAAAATTTTTCATTTTCCTCAAAAAAGAGATGAGGTATTGAAAAGTTTCAACTCGTATAAAAAATTATTAAATAAATGAATAAACTAAAAGACTGATAGGCTGATAAGATGAAATATCAGTAAAAGTTTCTATTAAAATATGATGATTAGAGAAATATTTCGCTTTTATTTAATGGATGACGAACTATCAGTGGACTAAATAAAGGCAAATTGTGAACTGAATCAAAATTCTAACCAATTTGCCTTTCAAAAATGAAAGTCTGATGGAATTTATCCCAATAAAACAGGATTAACTTCAATGACTACCTTATCGAGATTTGCTAACATTTTAGTAAGAGCAATATGTTGCTCGAATTGGTTCATTTGATGAGATTTTTTCGAATAATCGCTTAATATAGCTGCTTTAATATCGTTGATAAATGGTTGTCCACAATGCATTTTTATTTTTGCCAAAAGAACCAAAATAGTTGCGAAATTCATTACAGTGTCATGGGCACATATTCAGTGTTCCTCATTTCAACACCAGGTTCGACTGAATTTTTGGAAAATCGACAAAATAATACTTAGAATGCATATCAATTCACATGAATGCAAGTTATAAATATGCTACTATAGCTGTACAGTACACGTTCAAAGTAAATTCAAAGTAAAAGTAAGTGGGAAGAATAAACGCAATAAAAAGTCTCTAAGCAATATGATGCATTTAAAAAAAAAGGAAAGCAAGTTAATATATAATGCTGAAAGAAAAATGGGAAGTCATCTTTATATCACATCAAGAAAAAAAAATTTTCAGCACATCATCCGCTTTAATTTGATATATATATATATTGCATGACTGGTTAGCGCTCTCCATTTCTAGCTACACCCTTCTCTGTTGGATGCTATTACGGTTAAAAATTTTTGTCACGGAGGCGCTAGAAATACTCGTGATAGCCAGCACCATCTAGATTTCTTAATGAAAAGTTTGCTTCTGTCAGAAGCAAGACCATGTATCTATAAAATGAACAAATCTTATGAGTATGAAACATTAAAAATGACTGCTGCAAATCGAAAATTAAGAAATATTTATATAGAATGATCGTAGAAGCGAAGAAGTATGTCGAATTTTTTGATTGATTTTGAACAAATGCAAATACTTTAATATAGCTGAATAATATAACTAATAGAGCTAACTCATAAAATTTAATTTTGTTCTCTTTTAACTTTAATTTAACTTTAATTTTAATTTAACTCATAAAATCTATTTTGTTCTCTTAAACGAAAACCGAATTATTTCCAATGAAATAATGTGAAATAGTATTAAGTATATCTAGTGAACCTTATTCTTCATATTCTTCATAGCTAAAACCAATTCTCTATGCTTGATTTACAATTATAACCTATTTGATATGGCAAATCGTGATTTTTCAGCTGAATTCATTACCTTTCACTTTAGGAAAATTATTTAGGAGACCTGCAAAAAAAAGATGGTTTGGCCTACTATTAAATTTGTAAGTAGTTTAAGATGGGGTGCAGCAATGCCCAATATGGTAAGTAAATATGACTATTATTTACTATCCACAGAAAATTTATATGAAATATTGGCCAATTTTCCTTGCAGCAACTGAAAGAAACCGAACAGTCATGTGAAAAAAAACTAGCATTTAATCAATTTATTTATCGAAATCAAAATCAAATTTCCCTATTTCGAAAATATTAAATCGAAAAAATTTGATTACTATCCGATAAAAGTATGCAAAAGTGTGAATTCAAGAAGATAGCTTAATGAATAAGAATAATGACCAAAAAACAAATTGACTCAATAGCCGTTGAAAAAGAGCCCAATATAATCGAGATCTTAAATATAATATCCTTAACGGATTAAGGATCGATAAATTTTGAAAAAGCTATTAATGAAAGTGGTAAGGGGCAGAATATTCAAGTTTTTGTCGTCCAGACTACCATTTCAAGCATTATGGTTCAATACCTTCGGCAGGAAAATATAAAAATATCTTCGAAAATTTGGATTCTCTCTACTCCCCTCCTCCCTACTTCAGCTTCTAATGACTACATGACAAATTGTCTTATCCTGCTGTTTGATAGTGAACGAGCCTAACAACAAATTGGCACTTATTAATGCCAAAGATAACAAAAGCCAGCAAAAGCTGAATGAGTGGCATAATGGAATGAGCGGATAACAAAATATCAAGATATAAAATAAATGGCTATTTTTAAAATAGGCGTAAGCTGCAATAAAATTTGTTATTGTAAGATCAAATGGCTGCCAGCCATTAATTCTATAAGTAGATAAAATAGCATATTAAGAGATAGCATTAACTGAATAGTACAGTGATATGTTCTGTATAAAAAAGTTGGCTTTAACTCAGGTAAGTCAAATATCTTTCAGCTGATATTTTGAAAAAATAAGTTAGAAATCGGAAAAAGAATTTTTTGGTTACAAGATGTATATTATTTGAATAGATAAATAGCGCTATCAATTGTTGTTGATATTGTTATAACAACCACGCCTCAATAAATAAATTGGTGATTTGTTGTTGATCACCATTTGGTACTGATTCTAGCATTAATTTTTGGATAAATCGATTAAATATGGAAATCGTTTTTTATCCAAAATTGGTAAAAGAAATGTACTTAAGGGGAAAACTGTCTGTCTACTCTATAAGATCAAACACTTCCAGAAAAGTTCAGCGATAGAATATTATTTCATTAATAAGAATAGGACAAAAAAGCAATAGAACAAGCAAATAATATCCGCAAAAATTTTTCAATATTATCAATAATCAATAATCTTAAATTATAATCTTAAATTTTTTCTAAGAGCGCTCACCATTACCGAGTTAATCTCGCTTC